TTTATGCTAGAGACCACTCGGGCAAGGTTCCTTTTGCTGGTCAGTTTGTTCACTTCATCTAAAAACTATGGAGATCCAGCTTTAAATCTGTGAATACCTGAAAATACTCTCAAAACATAACTAATTAAATGTATCCTTATTGGCAATCTTTAAAATTCAGCAGAAAGTTCCCCAGTCCTTAAAAGATCTAAATACCAGCTTTTGAGGCTTCACACATGATTTCAGCTAAATGTCACACACCTCACAATACCGGATTCCAAATGTATCACTCTGGAGTGATTTGGTGACTACCCTATACTGCCTGCAGTCAGCACGTGCCTGAGTGTAGTGCTGACTCCACAGTGAATGGGATCTTACCTGAGACGGGTCCCTAATAGTGAAACGCCTTCCTTAACTCAGCATCTTAAGAAAAACGTCACTAGACTCATGTCAAAGTGCTTCACTTCATCTTCACATCTTAATGCAGACTTCAGATTTTGGAAGGGGTGAGGGAGGGAGGGGAGGCCATATAAAGGGAGAACTGAGATGTAAAAATAAGCACGCAGGAATGTTTAAGAGAGAATGGAGACCAGCCTGGGACAGCCCATTTCTCAGGAATAGTCCACGTCCGGAACGTGGAAGAGAACACGTGGTGAGCCAGCACCCAAGGTGGGTGACGGAGGTTGGCGGGGGGGGGGGGTATTCCGGAAGCAAGAAACAGACTAGTTCATTCCAACCACCCGGGGCAGAAGTCGATAAACTGGGTCGGGGGTCGTAGAAAAGTAGTAGACCCTCAAGATGGGGCTCTGTCAAAAGCCCGAGCCTGAAGAACGCACGCTGAAGAGCCAGGCCTGGCCGAAGGAAGCCGCCCCTGGAGGGCCGGGGGCCTCAGCGAACATGGCGACAGCCGGGCGCGGGGCGACGACCACATGGAGCCCGCCGACAGGGCTCAGGTCCAAGGCTCAGAGGGCCCAACCGCGCCCTCTTCCAATGCCCTGGGGACAGGCCGCACACGGGACCGACGGCGTGGGCCCAATCCATGCTGCCGCCACGTTCCGAGCTTCCTCGCCCCGGGCGGCCGACAGCCAAGCGCGAGGCGGGTCACGCGCCGCCGCGTCAGGCGGAGGCAAGACCCAGACCAAGTGGGCGCCCGCCCCCCACCGCCCCGCTCGCTTTACCTTGGCCTGCAGCCGCGCGGGCGCCCAGGCCAGGCAGGTGCAGGTACCGCTGAGGTGCGCGGAAGGCACGTACTCCTGGTGCAGCCGGTTGTTGCCTGTTTCCCACACCCGCAGGTGGCCGTCCGTAGACGCCAAGGCGAAGTAGGCCTGGCTCTGCGGGGAGAAGGCGCAAGGGACCCCCGCCGGAGACAGGGGGTCCGCAACACCGCCGCCACCCGCCGCCATTGCTGCTCCTGCCTTCGCGGTAGCCACGTGTTCGTCCATGCGCATGCGCACGGGTGCGGGGCGGGACCTGGAGGAAGGAAGTGGAATGGAAGGGCTCTGGGAGTTGGGGGCGTGGCTCTTCGCAACGCCCGCGAGCGTTGGGTTCGTCCAGCCTGTGGACGGTGGCTCGGTGGACCCAAAACTAATTTGTGAGGCGGTGGGAAGAGACTTGTGTGGGAAAGTGAATGTTGCCTTCAGAGCAGGACAGTTCCTTTAAAAAAAAAAAAAGAAAGAAAGAAAAAGGGTTGTTTTTTCTTTCCAATAATATGATTGAAGTAAAGGTTCAAAAAGAAGCTTCATTTATAATTACACCACTGAAACAACTCTCGCCACTTACTCCTTTTTATTTCCTCAATTCATCCCATGTTAATGCACCCAACAGACAATGTTTTCTGTCGCCTTAATTCACCAGATGTATGCATTCTGACTCAACTAAGGCCAGATGTTGTTGAGACCACACAAAGCTGATTGCCTGGAAGTAAAAAGAAAAACACCACCCTCACCTTTCCACTGAAACTACCAATTCCCAATAAGTCACCCAAGTGACGAGAGGCAGCTCCTCTCCTATGTTCAACAGGCATTTTGGAAAATGAGTAGTTGTGGGCCTGCCTGGTAACGCAGAGGGTTAAAGCACAGCTCTATGAAGCTCTCCAAAGCCACCACAGCACAAGTTCGATCCCCAGCCAGGGAGTTGATCCATTTGGCATGGTAGACCTGCTGCCCCCTGGAAGCTGATGGAGACTGTAGAAGATAAGAATGAATGCAGAAACAAGACAAAAGGACTGGCAGGTCAAACTCCTGAAAGCAGTAAAGGTGAGAAGTGATCAGATTCCAAATATATCTGAAGTTAAAGCTAACAGCACTGGTCACCCCCAGTTGTGCAGGGTTTAAAGTCTCAGCACTCAAACTATCACCAGCCACTGCTGCATGAGTTTGATCCCTGGCCAGGGAGGTGACCCACATGGCACAGCAGACCTCCCCTGTCTCACCACTACGCCCCTCAGCAGTGTATTTCAGTATATCTGACTTTTCTGCTCCCCACTCTCTTTGTTGAATTCTCTCATTCCTGTACCTCTGTCCTATACCCCCCCGTTCTTGTATGCATAAATTAATATAACTAAATAAATAAGTCTAACAGCATTTACCAATTGTCATGAGTAAAGCAAAGACTCGATTGAAGGATGACTAAAACCCAAGCAGGTAAGTGAATAGTGAATTGAGAAGCGGCTTTGAGTAGAGTCAAAATCAAGAGTTCTGTTTGTACAAGTTTGCGATGCCCATTAAGCATCCAAGTAGAGTTTTTCAGCAGGAAGTCAGATACATGAAGAGATAGAAATGTCAGGTGCATTAGCATACAAATGTTTTTGAAACTGTGATTGATCAGACCATGATGAGTGGGAAATAAGGAAGAAAACTTAGTCCCAAACTCTACCAATTTACAAAGGTCAGGAAGAACAGAATGCAGCAAAAATTAAAAAGGGGTAATAATGAGTCAGTATAAAAGCCCAGGAGAGTGACTGCCCTGAAACTGAATTTTTTATAAACATTTCAAAAGCAAGACTTGATCAAGAAGACCACGTCACAAAAATGAACAGTAATATAATATACAAATAAATATTTTTAAGAGACCATGTTAATTCTTGGAAATGTAAGATGATGACTGAGAAATAAGTCAATTTAGCAAGATCCAAGTCATCAATGACTTTTCAAAAGTATTTTTAATATTGAAGGGTAGAAATTTAAAAAAGGGAGATGAGAAAATGCAGAAAAATATAGACAAGTCTTTTAGGGATTTTTCAGCATTTATAAATCTATGTGAAGTAAGATCTGAGCTACTGTTACACATTTGATAGTTGTAAATATACAATAAAAGTTTTTTATTCACTTGCTCTACTATGTGTAGTAGTTTATTTATTCCTTACAACAGCCTTATCTCTCTTTTTTTTTTTCAGATAAAACTGAGGCATAAAATGGAAAAAATAGGGGATAGAAATCAACTATTGAAAGTTTTTCCATTTTCATTTGTGAGTGAATTTTTTTTTAAGATTGAAAGGTAAAAATCCTGATGATGGTGTTTGCAGTTTTTGAAAGCACAGATTAGAGTATTAATGTATACCTTCAAAAGCAGTGATTTAATTTTTTTAATTATTTTTATTATTACAAAAGTTTAATTTTACATCATTTTGCACATTTTTTTTCCATCTCAATTGTAATCCCCGCGGGTTTCCCATCACCAAATCACCC